ATCTTTGATCACGCCGCCGTTGGGACATCCCTGTCCTGGGTGGGCGGATCCCCTCCGCCTGCCCCTGGTGGGGCTCTGTCTTATTCTGGACACAGCGAACTGTCAAGCAGCAACTCTAGTCAGACGCAAGCCTCCCACATGTTTGATATCAGCGAGTTGGAAGACTTGAGCTGTCCCTCCGAGGACGTTACCACCAGCAGACACCCCGTTCCTGCTCTGCCAGTACCCATCAACTTTATCCTCCAGTGGAACGTGAACGGTTTCCTGAACCACCTCGGCGACTTGGAGATGCTTTGCCACAGCAATCCACCCTGGGTGATAGCTCTCCAAGAAGTTAACAAGGTGACGGTAGACCAGATGGATCGTTCCCTTACCGGAAAATACGCCTGGACCCTCAAAAGAGGCAGCAATTTTCGCCACTCCGTAGCCATTGGTGTTCTAAGGAGCATACCTTTTAACGAGATTGACCTGGGAACTGATCTTCCCATAGTTGCTGTTCAATTGGAGAAGCCGGCAAACATTGCGATTGCCTGTGCATACCTGCCATGTGGGAGAACATTGCTACAAAATCTGTCAAATAAAATCACCGGCGTTTTCAGCAAGCTACCCAAACCAAGGATGTTTGTCGGAGACCTCAATGGGCATCATCCAACTTGGGGCTGTCCTCGTCCGGATCCTAGAGGAAGCATCTAAATGGACCTACTCGATCAGGAAGACATGGCGGTGCTCAACCATGGAAACCCAACATTCTTCAACGGATGTCACGCCACGGCTATCGACGTCTCTTCGATCAGCCGTTCCATAGCAGGAAAAGTCACGTGGTGCACCAATGCGGATTTGTACGGAAGTGATCATTACCCCATCCAAATGCAGCTTTCGTCAGCCACGGCCCCAGAAGTCACGAAAAGGCCTCGCTGGCGGTACGACGAGGCTGACTGGGATGGGTATCAGGGGACAATTCTATCGCTGATCCTCGAACGCAATCCGCTAACCATCCCGGATTTTTCTAAGTTGGTGTTAGATGCTGCATCCTGTTACATATTTGCAATGTCCCAAAGATAATCAAAAATTAATTATCAAAATTGTTTAGTATTGCTTGTAGGAGTTAGGTTTATAAATTTAAAATAAAATTGCATTCCGGCTTGCCGCAAAACGCCAACACCCACTCCGACACAAGGAGGCGTCCAAAACGCAAAGAACGATCGGTGGGCAGCTTCCGCCGAAACGAGCGTCGCTCGAACAACGACGCGCAAAAAAAACGAACTTGGGAGGTGGAGGAGGATCGGAAAAAAAGAGACGTCGGTCTCTTGCGTACCAACCTCCCAACGATAAGGTCGAAAATCTAGTCCGTGGTGAAAAATTATAAACCGTCGTGTGAATATCACTTGTGTCGCATCCAGTTCACAGTGAGACCAAGTGTCGACTCTCGTTTCGGAACCAAGATAGTGCAGTGTAATTTGAAGACCGACTCCCGATCTCGTTCCGCGAGCGGATCCGATTTGTCCCGTGGTCCCAAAGTGCGTGAGGAATAATAATCGCCGTTTTCTGGTCCGGGGCGAAAACCAAGGAAAAACTACGGTTCGAGTGGACGCTTCGCGTTGAATTGGTGTCGTTCGTGAAGGTGGTGTTCTTTGGCGTGACAGCGGAACGGAGAGTCCCCTCTCCCAACGTAGAAATTAACCTTTTAGACGGAAGCTAGGCTCCCCCTGAGATGAGTCATTAAGGTAAGTCGCATGCTCCCAATTGTAGGAAAACCCCTTCTTACAATCCGCTACCATACCAAAGACCAGTAGCCTACCTGGACGAAAAGCCCTCCGTTGGTGGAGCGAAAACACCAAAAAAGCCGTTAAAGCCCGCCGGAAAGCTCTACGGAAACTCAGGCGAACCCCGAGAGATGACCCAAACAGGGAAGAGCTACTAACCCGGTACCGCGCACTGCATATTCAATGCCGAAAAGAAGTGAGAAGTGCGAAGCTAAACAGTTGGTCTGGTTTCCTTGAAAGCATCAACGCCTCCCAGTCCTCTGCCGATCTCTGGAGCAGGGTTAATGCTCTCAGCGGTAAACGGCACTCGACGCCATTACATGTACAAGCTAACGGAGTTACCATCTCCGAACCGGCAGCTGTCGCCGAAGAACTCGGAGGGTATTTCGCAGAAAATTCGGCCATCTCCGGGTACGATAGCCACTTTCAGCTGTTGGCAAAGCCTACCCGTACATCAGTCGCTGAGTTCAGCATCCCGCCTGACACGGACAACCTCGAGATCAACGAGCCTTTCTCCTGGGAGGAACTCCAGCACGCACTAAGCCGCAGCAACGGCAAATCTGCGGGACCTGACGATCTCGGGTATCCACTTTTAAAAAAGCTGCCCCTTGAGGGCAAGTGTTGCATGCTTGAGATGCTCAACCAACTCTGGGTCTCTGATACCTACCCGACGCTGTGGAAGGAGAGTCTCGTCGTGCCCATCCCGAAGGCAAACGAAAAAGACCGGGGCACATCTAAGTTCCGACCGATCGCTGTCACATCCTGCATGGCCAAGGTATTCGAACGGATGGTGAACCGTAGACTCAAGATGTTCCTTGAAACCAACAGCTTGCTCGACCACCGACAACATGCCTTTCGACAAGGTTTCGGTACGTCCACGTACTTTGACACTCTGGGGGACGTGCTCAAGGAAGCTTACGACCAGGAACACCACGTTGAAATCATCTCTTTGGACATCTCCAAGGCTTTCAACCGGACGTGGACGCCAGCCGTCCTGAAAAAACTAACAAACTGGGGCTTGAAGGGGCATATGATGTATTTCATACGAATCTTCTTGACCGGTCATTTCGTGTATTGGTGGGGAACACGCGGTCGAAAAGTTTCAGTGAGGAGACTGGAGTCCCTCAAGGCTCCGTTATCGCAGTCACGTTGTTTCTGGTGGCAATGAACGGGTTATTTGACCGGCTACCTGGGCGCATTTATATATTTGTTTACGCTGATGATGTGCTGATTGTGGCCTACACAGATCCGAACCCTACGGGAAGCGCAAGCGGCAGTCTCTGCCGTCGTCAAATGGACCGACTCGATGGGTTTCCAGCTATCCGCCAGGAAGAGCATCCGATGCCACGTATGTCCGTCTCAGCACCGAGTCAATAGCACCCTAATTACGATCCACGAGCAAGCCATTCCAAACAGGAAAACAGTTCGCGTCCTCGGCGTACTGATCGACCGAACGCTCTCCTTCGACCAGCATTTCCAACAGGTCAAAAAGGACTGTCGCAGTAGACTCAACCTCGTTAAAACGATCTCTCGGCCTCACCGATCCAACAACCGCGATGTTCGGTTCCGGGTGGCGCGAGCCATCATCGACAGTAGGTTGCTTTACGGGACGGAAATTACTTGCATCGCTTCCGAGAAGCTGATTAGAACCCTAGCACCAGTCTACAACAGCTACATCCGCATCATATCTGGTCTCCTGCCATCCACTCCAGCAGACGCCGCATGCATCGAAGCGGGTCTTCTTCCTTTCCGGTTCTGCTTAAACGCAAATATTGCCACAAAAGCCGCCGCCTTTTCCGCCAAGACCTCCGGAAACAATAGGATCTTTCTCCTCGATGAGGGGAACAGAGTCCTCCGAACGGCCGCCGACATCGACCTCCCCCCAGTGGCCAAAGTCCATTGGCATGGAGAGAAAAGTTGGCACTCTTCACGAATCCAATTGGACAATCGGATCAAGAACCGCTTCAAAGCAGGGGATGCATCCATCATTTTGTGCAGATCGGTCGCCTTGTTACTTGGGTCCAACTATGCCGACCACGTACATCGGTGCACCGACGACTCCCGATCGATAAACGGAGTAGGTATCGGGATTTTTGGAGACGGTATTGCTGAAAGCAGCAGTCTTCCTCCACAATGCTCGGTTTTCTCGGCCGAGGCTGCAGCGATCTTCTGTGCCGCTACGACGCCAGCCAACAAACCGATACTTATATTAACTGACTCACACAGCGTCGTTCAAGCGATCACCTCGGAAGCACCAAAACACCCATGGATCCAGGCGATTATCAAGTACGCCCCACCGAACACCGTGTACACATGGATTCCCGGACACTGCGGAGTGCCAGGTAACGAGTCTGCTGATCACCTTGCCGGAGCCGGGACATCGGGTCCCAGACTCACCAACAAGGTACCCCTACAGGACGTCAGACGGTGGATCATGCGGACCATTCGAGCGGCATGGGAAGCTGAGTGGTTCCGCAACAGAACTGCTTTTATCCGCAAAGTAAAAGGGTCAACTGAACCATGGAGAGAACTGGACAACCTGAGGGATCAACGCGTGATTTCGCGGCTTCGAACCGGGCACACTAAACTCTACTATAACTATGGTGGCCTGCCGTTCCGCAGAAGCTGCATCATCTGTGGGGTACCCTACACCGTCGAACACATCCTGTGCAACTGCCCGGAATTCCAAAATCTTCGTGAGTCACTCTGCCTAACTTCCAGCATCAGCGATCTGCTCGGGAATGATACTTCGGCCTCGGCAGCACTAGTAACCTTCTTAAAAGAAGCCAAAATCTACCACTCGGTATAGCAGGAATTTCTTTCGGCCATTGGGACATCTCAGCTGGATGGATTTCCCCTATTGGACCCATGTTAGCTGAGCTCTGTTTTGTTTGGATTAATCGTTTGTAGCTTGTCTTAAATCATTTTGTTTTCTGTTGTTCTTCTGTTTCATTATTTTATATATTGTTATTTTTTCATATAAGTTGAAGAGCCAGCAACCAAAGTTATTAACTAAATGTTAATATACCATGTATCTAGAGGTTACTCACTCTGAGCCCTCTCCTTTCTTCGGAGATGAACTAGCCATAAGCTAAAAATCTCCTTAATAAAGAACTAAAAAAAAAACCCTGAAGAAGGCCAAGTCTATAGCCCGAAACGTTGAACACATATAAAACATCGTAGTGTTTTGATTCACCAAATGCCAATGTCCAAAAAATAAAAAAAATTCAAACTCACCATCACTGTACGGCGAGGTCGGCGTCGTCGTTAAGGACGCACCGCCCACTGTCGTCGTCGTCGTCGTCGTCGTCGCCCCGGTCGTCACCGTCCCCGTCGAACTGAGAATCTGATCCGGATTGCTGGGGGACATCATGAACTGCATCGGTCCATCGTACGCGTGCACTTCACGCCCATTTCGGTTCACCGCCGACATTGGCCGTACCAGTTGCAGGTCGCTCGCTTGCACCATCCCAGGCGTCGCCCGTTTCTGTCTGATGTAGGCCTCCATAAGCTGTCGCTGCAAGAGAGATATTGAAAAAAAAAATTAGAAAGACGGGTCGAAAAACAGGTCAGTGCTAAATTGAGCTCTCGATTCTTCGGTAAACATATTGACACGACTAATTAGCACCGTTGGGTTCCCTCAAGTGTGCACTTGCCGAGTGGTACTTATTAGGTAAACACCTTCCTAATTGAGATCAGTGCAAAGGCAATTATTGAACGAATGTGTCACTAGTGGCTAGAGCGAGAGAGAGAGTGATTTGGTGACAAAAATACTCTATTTCGATTCGAAATTACTCCCCGGAGGCTGCTCGTTGTTGAAATTTGGATGTACATTTAAAGCAAACGGTCGCAGTCGTGTTGAAACACATTAGCATACGGTCCATAATTTACACCCAACCGGCAATGTTGTTTGCATCACTCAACGCAAACAGGGGACCGAACAGACGGCCATCTGCTAATGCTCGTTTCTTGGAATGGAATGTCGATGGAAATCTCACCCACCAAAAGCTCATTTTAATCTAATCTAAACGAAGCACCCCAATCCCAAATCCGTTTTCAATTGCCAGTGAGTTAGCTCGTTTATTGTGTTTCAATTTGGACCTGTCCCTATCGATGTTGTGTCGAACAAATTGGATCCTGTGGCTAGATAACCATCATCAGTATTGGAGTAACACATGTTCCTAACAGCTTGGCACTGAAAGGATTTTCGGTACTTCTTGTTGTTGTGCCCAATCATCGTGTAAAATAAGTTTTGCTGCTGCTGTGTTTCCCTTTCTCGGAATATCCTGGGGGCTATTCATCCTTTGCCTTTTCTGTGCTTTTCGGAAGGATATGAACGCCGGTCCTGTCACCGATTTTCGGATTTTCGTTTCCCGCGGCAGGTTGCTTCGCACGACAACCTATGGGTGTCCTTCCCCGCGGTCGTGTACACTGGAATCGATTTTTTATTCCTTTCGACTTTATGCTTTTTCAAGGACGCTGCTGGCTGCTTGGTCATCGCCGTCTCCACAAGTAGCTAGATTCTTATCCGTTGCGTGCGGCCACCGACAGTGAAGCAATTTGAGGGGACATAATTTCGATGGGCGGTACGAAAAATTAATGATTTTTGGGAGAAATTCGGAGCGGAAATTTTTTTCCGATTTTCGGCAAAACTGTCCGTTCTTAGAGCAGCGAAGCACTCTGAATTAGAACACCGAAATAAGCATGAACATGAGCATGCTGGACCGCCCGTGGATGCAACTCCGTTATTGCCAGATCAGCTGTGATTACGCAGAGCACCAATAGACGTTGCTTGGGATTAGCAATCACCCTCAATGTGCCGCCAGCCAGGTCCAAATGCAGGTCAAGAAAGGAATGGGTAGGAATAAATTGACGTAATACGCAATGAAAGCCGAGAACACCTCTACAGTTCCACGAGAAATCAGTGGGATATTGGATTGCAGCAGGATTCGTTTTGGTAAACGACGTGCTGATTTGATGTCCTAACGATACAATAGTGCGAAGGAGCTTGGGTTTGAACCCACAGTCTTCTGCTCAGTAAGCAAAATCGATCGCCACTAGGTCACCGAGCTCCTTATATCACAAAACAATTACGATCAAGCTTCCGTTCAACATGTTGTTACCATAGAGGTAACTCTAAGACTAGTAGGTCCCGAAATAACGTGCTCAACTTTTTGGCTCAGCTCTGGTACTATCTTCGGTCCCAAGCTAATCGATTCACCCTTCGAAACATAGGAACATCCACTAACCCCTCATTTTATCTGTCAAACTTTTATAGCGAATCAAAACAAACATTGTGTAGTACTAGAATTTTGACAAGAATGGGATACTTTAATCGTTTGCTTGGGACCAATAGGCTAGTCAAGTAGAGAGCCAATTTAAAATGGTTAGTTTCCACCGGTTGTTGTTACTAAGTTTTTAAAAGGATTTCTTATGGATTTCCGATCAACGCGTCTTTCCTAAAACTCCTAGTCCATCGTCTCTAGCGTAATTAGTGGTGCCTTTACGAACTAGGCTATCGATACTCGATAGGCACTGATTGTAGTTGAATCCATCGCTAGCTATTATAGCTCCGTAAATTGCTACACAACCACATTTCATTAAGCTCCTAAAATAAATTTACAGCTCAAGTTCACGTTTTTATCACCGATATGCCGCACTATGAGTATCAACAACGTACCCGGCCCGATGGGCCATTTGGGAAAAAACTACCTGCCCAGAACTGGTACCTGGAACAAAGGATGGAGGATAAAATTTAATTTTCACTTTAGCTCCCTTCTCGGTTATGCGGTTGATGTAGCAGCTATCATCGCCTGGTTGTTACTTGTAGTCACCGCACAGTGGTCCATGGGTGGCCAGAAAATGGTTTATTGTCACAATTAGAAACTAAGTTTACTGAGCTTAGCAAAATAATACATTCTTTATTCAACAATGAAGCGGTGAATGTTCTGCTCAAATAGTGTTATGGTAGTTAGTATCAATCAAGTTAGGGTTTTAGCTGGCCTAGTCAATAAAGACAGGGTATTACCAGGTTCGAACCGGGCTGGGAAATCTTTCTCGATTTCCCAGGGCATAGAGTATCATTGTGCTTGGCGCACAATATAGAAATTTAAGCATTGGTTGACACAGAAAGCTCTCAATTAATAAAGTTGATGTGCTTTAATCAACAGCAAGTTGAAAGACCGCCGCTTTTCTAAGACAAGCAAGTCAAACGAATTTCAGACGCATGCTAGTTTTCACACAGATGGCGCAGTTCCATTGGTAGTAAGTAATAGAAATCCTTATGTAAACATTTGGAGCAACCTAAATAAATCATTCATGGACTTTTTCGTTCAGTTTTTTCCTGTTAGTTATTATTAAACAAGTTACAATTAAATAAACAAGTTTTTCCCCATACAATTTTTCCCGCTCTACTACCAGCCCCCAGAGAGCTAAAAATTTCAAATTTGTGAGAGAAAATTCTCTCTCACGAGCTCAATCGCTCAACATGCCATGTATTTTGAAGACACTCGATTTGTGATTTCCCTTTCACAGACTTCAGAATAGAGTACCTGGCACTGCAAAAATTGTTTTTTTTTTTTCCTTTGGTTTGTTTTTTCCGTCGATCTTGTTTTCCGTGCTGAGCACCAATGCTACCGACGTGCCAGGAAGGCAGCTCCCACACCTGGACCCTACCTATCGACCCATCAACTCATGAACCGGGGACCAACGGCTTTACTTCCCATCCGAAGGAAGGCGTGATCAGAGATGTTATGCCTCAGAACATCCCGGCGGCGCCGACTGGGATTGAACCCAGGCCTGCTGGGGTGAGAGGTAATCACGCTTACCACTACACCACCGGTGGCGTTATGCAAAAATTGTTGGTACCCTTATTTCTGCACTTAGACTAACATCCGAAGTCCCTTCTTTTTTTACATACCCGGCACGTCTACGGGACCAAAAAATTATGGACATTGGCGGTCCTATCATTCATTCCTGCATGATCAGCCACCTGTATTCGCGGAAGCAGCTGAGGGCCTGCCAACAAACATCAATTTTCTACGCAAAATTTTCATGGACGTCCACGAAGAACTTGGAATATCACGAACTGACGCCTTAGAAGACCTGAAGTCATACCAAGCGTTCTTATCCAGCGAACGCACAATACAACTGCGGCAAACTAGGGAGGCCGCACGGAAATTCTACAGTCCATAAAATGTTGATTAACATTGACGAACTCAACGGAAGGAATGAAAGACGACTCTCTACTTGCAGAAGAAAACTAAAATGTAAGTAGAACTAGTCTTCCAGAAATCTCTTCGCCTTCTCATCAGAATGTGACTGAAATTCTGGTAAATAATAATAAAGAAAACATTGTGTCAACCGACGCTCTTCCAACAATTTCTTCACATAAACAGAATGCGGCTGAAATTTTGGTTCACTGCCAAAATTTTAATCGCATGGAAAGCCTAGCCGAAATGGAGTAATATATAAAAATTTATTATGCTCATCCTTTTCGGTAATTCTGGCAACTGAAACAAGCTGAAATGAAAGCGTTCGCAGTGAAGAAATCTTTGGAAGTGCATTGTGTTCATGTATTCAGAGACGACAGGAATTTGCATGCGTCTCAGAAGAAGTCAGACGGCGCGTTCTCATAGCTCTTTCGGCCAATTTTAACTCAGAAATCATCTCTACAGCAAAATGTAATGAATTTGAGCATGTTCGGGTGAAATTTCACATAGCAGGTGAAACACGCGTGTTCGAGACCATGCTCATAAAAACACTTATGACACATTCTTCCAAAATTCTGAACAAATTACATCTCAACTTCCTCCTGAGGTGAAAGTTCACATCTATGGAGACTTCAACCAACGCCAAGTCGACTTCATTCTGGACCCTGAAAATGGAAGTATCCTACTTCCAGTCGTTGGGGATAATGAAAAATTGCAGTTCGATTTCGATAGCACTGCTAATTTAGGATTGAACCAAATCAATCACATTAAGACCCTACGAATATTTATGAAGATTTCCGAATGACCGAATCATTAAACCCATTGAGCATGAGCATGAGCATTGACGACCATACATTTCAGTAGTTGCTACCCCGTGATTGTCCAGATTTAGCGAAATTTGCACAAAGGACCATATGAATGAGGCTTGGGACTAGCAATCCATTCTCAGTGTACAAAATCCGGAGAATCCATATTTTTGAGGTCAATAACGGCGCCGGCCACGTTCTTACGGTTATCGGGGAGGGATTGTTATTTCAACAACCGTTGCTACTAGAAACCGAGTACATATACCTCTGCATCTCCACGGTTGTCACGGGAAGGACGTTTTTGTTAGTTGGAAGGGTAAATTAGATCTGGATTCACATTGGAAAGTGATGCGATCTTTTAAAACCTGTTAAGCAAATGACGCGACCCTATCAACTCAGTAATGTAAAGAGGTTTGGGTTTTAACCTTCAGCTCAGTAAGCAAAAACGGTCGCTCTAAGGTCACCGTGCCCCTTACATCACAACAAGCTACGACCGACGA